ACAAATTTAACAAAATAATTGATAAAAAAATTAAAAAAAAAAAAGAAAAATAGACTAAAAAAATACATAAAAAAGTTAAAGGATAAAAAATATATCTATCATTAAAGTTGATGACCAAAAATGAAATTTATCATTTTTAAATTTGAATTGAGTTCTAGGGACAATTTCCTATTAAGAAGCCCTTAGCCCAAAACGAAAACGACGTGGTTTTGGGTTAAGGAATCTTTTTTTTTAATTGGCAGTGTGTATCGGCCGAAATTCCGGTGAACTGGTCGGTTCACAGGAATTTCGGCCGATACACCGGATCGTGACCGAAATGACCGAATTTTAACCGAAACAAAAATTAATATTATAACATTTCGGTCAACTTTAAAAACCGGTACGTACCGGTCGTACCGGCCGGTACGGTACGGTTTTTACTTCTTCCTCCATTCTTATCTCTCATCCTGCCTCTTCCTCGTTCCCAGCCTTCTTCATCCTCTTCTCTCCGTCTATCTTTTCCTTCTTCTCTCTCTCTTTCTTTCTCCCCCTTCTTCTTCCTCCTCTTTCCCCTTCCAGATCTATGTGGGTTCTCCCTTAAGAACTCAGATCCGACCCATGAAGCTGTCGAACCATCTGAATCCGGCAACAATGAAAAGAAAGCGAGAGGGCGAGATCTGAGGTTACAAGATAAATCTCTGCGAAGAAGAACGAGATCCATGTCTCCCTTAAGGATGGTCGATGTTGGTACTGCCGATTAAATCCCCTTCTATAGGGAGAAAGATGATGAAAAGAACGCGGAGATGATGTTTAACAAGACGAATGCTTCAATGTCGGCTTCTTCCTCACACTCGTCGTTGGGTGGCCGGAGCTGGAAGCGATAGGTGTTTTTGAAAGATTTTCTCAGGAGCAAAGTGAAGGAAGATACTCTGGTTACAGCGGCGACACAGACAACGAAAAAGAAGAAGACGATATTGATTTCGATTTCAAAATAGAAGGTTATCGATATTAGGAATTTCAAGTTTTTCATGATTTATTCTGGGTGGTAGTTTAGGGTTGTTTGTAGGGGTTTCTTTTGAGTTTTGAGGATACTTTTCGGATTGGAATTTGGAGTCGAAACTTGATATGGGTTTTGTGAATTTGCAGAATTTCGCCAATGGGGAAGAAAATCACGGTTTTGTGACGAGGAAGAAGGGAAATAGCAGGTTTAGGGTTTAGAATCTGAAAAAAGAAGTGAAAAGAGAAACGCAGAACACTGCGACCGGTGGAGAACTTGACTGAAACTGGAAAAAGGGAATATAAATTTTATGTGGGTCCCACACGAAAAAGAGAATTTGTGATGCGTAAAAATAACATGCTAAGCTGGCAAAATTTTTCTTATTGGATTTACATGTTATTAACATTTAAAAAATTAAGTGATTTTGTGATATTTTAAACGTGCCATGGTTAACAGAAGGATAATTTTGATATTAAAAATAAAAATTTAAAGATAATTTTAATATTTTTTAAAATTTAAAAATAATTTTGATACCAAAATAAAAAATTGAGTAATCAAAATGGTATTTAAACCATAAAAGTCTAAGAAATGCTTCAACAGTTAACAATTTGTGGATTAAACGATCCAAATAGACGGCTAAAGCAACGCCGTCAATAAACAAAATAAGGGAAGTACAAGGATGACATTTAGTACTTTTGGTAAAGTAAAGGGATGACAATGAACAAATCCTTAATAGAGGGATGGTCATGAATAAAAATTAAGAGTAGAGGGACTATAGTTGGCTTTAACCCAAAACCAATTCTTTTTATGTAAATTATATATAAATTTGTAAATTGATCTAACATTTATAATCCTTTAATCAAACAAACCTATCTATTAACATTTATTTAACAATGATAAATTTTATGTAATTAATGAACTAGTTAAACGTACTAGATTAATTTAAAAATTAATATACATAATTTATATGAATAAAACCTTTAATTCAGTGGTTAATTTTTAAAAATAATAGTTAAAATATGACATTTTTTAGAGGTGTCCTCTAAAGAATGTTATACAAGTGCTTATTTGTCGTACCTCTAAAATATTAAGAAAAATACTCAAATATTTTATTATTTCAATAAATTTTCATTAAAAAAATACTAAAATAACTTATTTTTAAAGTAGAAATGAAATTGTTTTGGTCTGACAAGTAAGATGATAAACTCTAATCTTTCTCTATATACTCTCTCTTTATATATCTTATCTATCGGACCTCTAAAAAATAAAGAAAAAAAAATCACAAAACTATATCGTTTTAATAATTAACCATTGAAAAATAGTAAAATAACTTATATTTAAAGCAAAAATAAAACTATTTTTGTCTTTTCTTATTATGTTTTATCGAAATAATATAGTTTTGAAGTATTTATAAGAAGAATTCTATGAAATTAAAAGAAAAAACACTTCAAAACTACTTCAAAACTACTTCAAAACTACATTATTTTAATATCCTCCTAAGGTATTTTTCCTCCTAATTATTTTTAAATCAGCTAATAAACACTAATTAATATTTATATATACACTTCATAGGTGTAGCATTTAGAAATTTTACATAAATTATTAGTAATTGAATTTTTGAAATCATAGTTAAGATTTCTTACTTCCACACAAAAGAAAAAAAAAAGGAAAAAAAAAAAAAAACCAACCACTAAACCACTCCAGTCATTGATAATTTGTATAAGTTAGAGACTAGGACCTTATACAAAGCTATGACCAAAAGAAAACACCCTGTAAGGCTTCCTTTGAGAATGTCGCCGTAGTACTTTAGATTTTGGTTTTTTTGTCTTTTTACTATCTAAAAGGGGTCTTCTATTTTATAATTTAAATTGCAATAAATTATAAAATAAAGATCATAAAATGGAGGGAGGACATCCAATGTGGGGATCCATTTTCATCCAATGATTTTTTTCTTTTGGTATCTCTAATCATGAGTTATACAAAAAAAAAATAATCCATCCAATGATTATGATTACATAATTAAGTATAGTTGAAAGTAAATAATGCTTTTTCCATCTAAAAAATATATAAAATATTAATTAAAATAAATATTAAAATACTTTGATCCATAAGAACAATAAAATAAGTTTAGAGACAACAATATATTCAAAATGAAATGCATCTCATAATTATATAAATTAAAATATGAGCAAAAATGAACGAAATCATATAATTATAAACTCAAAGAAAATGACAGCATCTACATACTTTGATCATAACAAGATTACTTTAGGAAAAATAAAACCAATAAAAAAACGCTATGATAAAACAATACTCACAGAGTGATTGGCAGGAGCAGAAGAGAGAGAAGATACAGTTGGCGATCAGGGAAAATGCAAGGAGGACCCTGTACTTATAGATATGATGGATGCAGGAAGAAGTAAAGAGAGATTCGGTATTCTTTGCCTCGTTCACAGGAAAAAGAAAGGCATATAAGCATATCTTTATGATGAATGTACGAAGGACAGTTGATGATGTGCCCTGTATATGGCTGGAGAAAGTGGAAACGAAAAGAGCAGGAAAGGAACATTGAGTGCTGTGTGAGTCATATGGTAGGTTGCACCATGCCACCATGTAATTATCTTGTTCCATGAGTGTCATTAAGGCAAGGGACACAACTTCAGCTTGGGAACAGACAGGCTCAAACCATGGAAAGTGTAGAAGGAAGTGCAGGGACCCGGCCTAGAGATTTGCTGCAAAGGTCAGTGTGTGAATCCAATGGCGGACGAAGAGAACTTTGGAGCATACAACAACAATTGTAAGAAAGGAAGCAAGTGCATTTATGGAATATGCACCTATGCATAGAAGTTATACAGACTGAAGATGTTTATATGCATGACAGAAATTTAAGTTTTTGTGGAGATGACTGATAATGGCTAGACATTAATATGGTGGATCTAGCCTCATGCTTAATCATTTGTTTGTATGATTAAATGTTAACTTGATATTGTATTACTAGAAATGTTCTTTTTATTCTGGCGTGGAAATGTCTGAAACGGCACAACACCTTGCGTTTGCCCGCTCGAATAGCTGTGTGCATTTAAATATTTCCAGCTCAAATGGCATTTCATTTTGCTAGTCTGAACTAGAATACAACAAACTATTCCATTAATTACCACTATTTAACTATCCTGCATATGTAGTCAGTGTAATCTGTAAGCATAAGAAAACAAGACAGAAGCTGAAATCATTCTGATGAAAAACTAGATGTGGGTCGGAATGATCCAAAAGATTAGACTTTATCACAAACTCAAGAAAATGTAATAAAAGGTAATTACTTCTCTGCCGTGGTGTAATTACTTCTCTGCCGTGGTGTATGATACTAATGTACTGTTTGTGTACAGTCAGTGGTGTGGTGTGTCCACAAAACTCTAGCCATCATTTTGGTAGCTAGCCCTAGCCAAATTTGATCTAGAGGGTCAGTTGACAGTTAAGAATGGTGTAAGAATCTTTAGATTATGGAGGTGTGTCTATTAATGTAGACGCCTTAAAATGGGCTACTACCTCCACACTCAAAAGGCACACGGCAGCTCCACGAGAGAACTTCCTTGCAAATAAGAAGCAGGTAACAAATGTAGATTTAGTACAACACCACTTAGTCCTAAATTCACTCTCATAGTTCACGCGGATGATGACCTGTTCAATAAAATAACACGAGTAAGAAGATCCGAGAAAGTGAAATATGCAAACATGGACAGTAAAAGAACAAAAGGCCTCCAATTAAGGTCAAATTTGAGAGATTAAAATACCATCCGGAACATAGAGAAATGATTCATCAGAAAGAAGTGGACTGGATGAAAAGCAGGTAACATTAGAGATGAGAAGTAATAACCTTTATTTCATAGGGTCTGCATCTGCGCATAGCTAAATGTAACAAGATGCCAATTATTCTCTACTCTCAGAAGTCTCTACCTTCTTGAGTGGTAATAGTATGAACTTCTATGTCTTGATTGCCTTATTAGTTCTTACTTTTTTTCTGTTGTTTTGTTAATTCTTATTTCAATTTAGTAGTTGATACCATCATTTTGTTGTTTATGATGTTATCATGTTTTACTATTGAGTTTTATATATTTTGATACTTTGATTTTTTATGTAATCAAATATATTTAAATTAATATAAAAAACCAATCAATCTAACTGAACCACACTAATCTGATGTAAGTTGGATTGGATTGGTTTGGTTATAATATAATAGTGGATTGGATTAGTTTGAAAATTTTACTAACTAATTAAATTAGTTTGGTTTTGAAAATGTTAAAATCCAATCCAGTCCACACTACAAACACCCCTACAAAGTATAGGTCACTGTTCTTCTCTCAAGTTCACTCATCTAACAAGAAAAAAAACAAGAAACCAGAAATGGTAGATAAATTAGATTTCATGGCCTCAACCACACAAAATCATCACACAACAAAATCAACCCAAGAAGAATAACACTGAAACGGATGTAAAATTCAGAGAAAAAAAAAGAGGGGAGAGATTAACTATTGATACTTACTGCAAACAATGTCTGCATGTAATGTTCATCTGGGATACAATTGTGCTGCTTTTGAACCTTTTATCGGGCTACCCTTTCCACAACGGTGGCATCTCATTATAGGGCAGTGTGAAGTCCATAAATTAGAAAATATAACAAGACATCTGGATTATGCAAACAAAGGGAGACTGCCTTCTTTACTAGAAATCACGGTCTGGAACAATTACTACAGTTCAGCTTTCCTTTCCTAACATCCAGATGTGGGTGTCGCTGCAACAAGAGAAGAAAATTTAAACATCAGATGAGTTCCACAGTTATGAATTACTTAAATGGATATATTGTTGAGGTTTTAATGGTCCAATGCCCAGAATCAAACCAATCAGCAACACAATCAAACACCCAAGCACAGAATAAGCAAACAAAGTAAAATAAAGAGGACACCAGAATTTTTACGTAGAAAACCCAAATGGGAAAAAACCACGGGGCACTTACCCAGATGAAAAACAATCCACTACTGAAAATGGATTACAATTTTCGGATCATAATCCAAATCTCTCAACTTTCTAACATCAACAAGGGAGATTTTCTCTCAACCTCACTCTGTTTTTCTGCACTGCTTACCCACTCTGTTTTTGCGCTCACTCCAATCTGCACTCTTTTCAAATTTTAAACAAGAGATTAAATAGGGAGCTTTTGGATACAAGAATAGTGTAACACTATCCTATCAGGGACTAACATGTCAGCATATCCAAAGTTGGAGGAGTCCACTTTGCTTTTCCCATTTCTTCAACAATGAGAAAAAGTCCGTGTCGGAAAAACTGTTCATCTTCAAAACCAAACCTTCCAAGTTTCTGCCATGCGCCATGCACTCATGGTGCACCTACATTGTTGAGCCACCCAACTTGGGAGGGCTAGCTCAACA